TGTACCTTGCTGCTATATCATGTAACAAGTGCAAAATCACAGTCAGACTTTCAGAAACACCCACGGGAGTCCCTATCTGTATTAGAAAATGACGTCTGCATAGGAGATCGATGCTTACCTTTTGTAGCATGATTGGAAACGTGTGTGCCCACTGTCCATTCTGCATTGATCGTGTTGAAACTGTGAGCTGGCTTTTAGTCAGAAAGTGCTCCTGACTTTGTGGGTGAAGCTGAAGCAACAACTCAGAACTCAAAAATGAATGAAAGAATGATCAAATGCTGCAGTTCCTAAAATGGCCACTTGACCCTGGCTACAAAAGCAGGCCAATCACCATAGACCGCCATGTTAAACTGTCCAGCTTTACAGAAAAAAATAACAGTATTTACAGTCTGGCATGAAAAACAGTTTTGGTCTCTATAGGTAATGTACCCATTCCTGTCGACTGCACAGGGGGTACATTTGTTTAGAACTCACCAGTTCACATTGTATTAAGGTTAAGGTTATGCATTATAAAGGGTGGGGCAAGCTTTGACTAACACATGGGCCAAGAGATGTTTGCATGGTCTGCCTCAGCTCCACTAGTGCTCCACTTCTTTGCCCATTTTTGAATTAGCTGTAAGTTAGCAAGAGTCAGGCACTGCCAAGAGAGCAATGGAGAGCTACCACACTAAGTTTCATCACCACTGTTCGGGAAATTCATAGTATTTTTACATCTACATATACAGTCTATAGCATCGCAATCTGCCGGGGAGCTTGCTTTGAGTGGACAAAGGTGCAGGTTTCAATTGCACAGGGCTGCTTAAGCCCTGCTGTAATTGCAGTTCAAGTTTTCTATGCTGATACCAATCCTTCCTTTCAAATGATACGTTAAGTGGTCTGATGGCAGTGTCATGGTGGTAATGTTACTGGCTTTATGAAAAGTAAAAAAGAGACACTTAAGGGAGGCCTTTTAGCTGAGAAGGCGTCAATGAAAATGGACAGTTTGCCATTATGAGGTCTTTGCTGTTTGTCACAGATACAACTAAATCACCTGGCAGCTCGACAATCACAGCCCTTGAAGACAGCAAAGATGCATATTGATTTTGTAATGCAACACACACACACACACAGAGAGAGAGAGAGAGAGAGAGAGAGAGAGAGAGAGAGAGAGAGAGATAGAGAGAGAGAGAGAGAAATTCTTTAATCACTGTACATTTCATGACTTTACAATTTAGGTTAAATCCTTTCTATTCTATTTCTTTTTGATTCTTATTTTTCTAGATTCTATTTCGGTTCCCTATGGACGTTTTGAGCACAATGTTCATACCATTTACTTCATGTCTTATTACTAAAAACATTTCAGGGGTGTTGACCCTCTTTTTATTCACATTTCCCCAGGAATCAACTTGACATCTTAGCATCTTTTAAATTTTTGGTTTATCCACCAGAATTTGAAATAAAGTTTTATGAATTTGAGCAATGTTTCGCTGCATAGTGTGAGTTTCAACCTACTGATCCATCAGTGGTTCAGTGGAACTGCAGGCCTTAAATTAAATTCTCCACTTGGGGATCTGGAGCTCCCTGAACAATCTTAAGATAAATCAGGACAAAAACAGCTATTATCGTGTTCTTTCCACGGACTATAATGAAGATGAATGAATTCTTCCTGATGTCACTCTTCGGTTTCCTGGAAGTAGTTTGTTGCTGAGAGTAACTATGCCCCTTTAAGCTCTAACACAATTTAATCAGATGAATTTAACTAAAATCCACCCACGTAAAGTTGTCATGAGTGGGAAAATCAGCGAAAGAGACTGAAACTGTTTTTTGTAGCAGGCTGTAAGCAAGTTTATTTCTACTGTGAGTTTGGACATTTTAACGTTGGAGTCTGTGAGGACTGACTCGCCTTTGGAGCCAGCCTCAAGTGGCCATTCAAGAAACTGCAGGTTTTGGCTCTACTGTGAAGGCCTCGTTTATCAGCCCCACAGGTTTCTGATTGACTCTTTATGACTGTGACTAAATTGTTTGTCTTTTCTTGTAAAACACCACTTAGATTTACCTCTGATTGGGGACGAGGGGTTGATTAGCTTCACTTCACCAGTGGGGAGGGTTGGCAACAGCTGGTTTAAATTAAACTTTTTTAAATCTCTTACCTTTTTTTTTTTTTACACATGGTAATATAAGCAGTCCATACTATTTATTAGAGCTACAAAATATAACATATTTTAGATCTGCTGCTATGATAATATTCCACATACTACACTTGATATACCAGAATCAAATGACCTAAACGTAAAAAAAAAATTAAATAAAATGTCAAACACAACAGGATGATTGATTCCTCTTCCTCCCCTTAAAACGCTGAGGTTAACATTCAAGTGATAAAATCTCAGGCAGGAAACTCTGAAATGAGAAAAAAGGAGATGTCTCATTTTAGCAGCTCCTCTTATTCCCAGCATGAATGGAGGCTACGTGACGTCATGTGACTTTGCCTCTGATAGGGGTGGGGAGCAACCTCAGCCTCCACTCCTGCACTGAATCTGTCACAGCGTAGAGAGGCAGCAGGCACCATGAGGGCCTTTTATCATGTATATGCTCAATTCCAGCTGCCCTTGCAGTGCACGAAATGCATTTGTGTTGTCTGATGAATAAATCTGGCATGGCCCTTTGCATAATGAAGGATAATTAGTTTATGCTGCAGCATTCGTGGCTGCCTTTGGTAGGTCTGCCAAATGTATTAAGGACTGGTAGCAGGCCAAAGAGATTCAGTCTTACTCTACTGAAAGCCTCTCTCTGCAGTTTTCCAGGTAGGTTATGAAATATTTTACCATTTCTTGTTCCACACATTTTGCAATGTGATGTAATATTTGTATTTATTGATCGGATTGTTGTTGATGTGTTTACTCTGTGTCTGTGAAATGCTTTGCGGCATGATCGAATCAGGACAGTTCAGCTCATGTTTGTGCCACTACAGTATTTTTTCCTGTTTTGCATTGCTATTAAAAGTAAGCATGTGATTTCTTGCGTTTCTTGGGCCTTGAACAAACACGCTGCTGGGTTACAATCAAAGTACCTCCATCGTAGACAACAGAAAAGCTGGCACAAGACTCCATGACCTTGCACAGGGTGTGCAGAGGGGCATGTGAGCCTGGAGGCCTGTGCTATTTATATGATATGTCCGCAATACACTGTGTTATGTGACATCAGTGAAGAAAAATGTGCAGGATCACGACTGGTGTATCTGCACACTAACATCAATCACTCAGCGATAATGTTCTGGGGGCAAAGGCCTAAAATATGAACACGATGTGCGGATCCAAGTCCTTATTATACACTTCTCCTGCTCATTTCCTTTTCCTCCATTTCCTTTCTATCTCCCCCACCTCCCTCTGTCTCCGTCTCCCTCTCCCTCTCTCTCTCGTCTTTCTCTGCACCAGCTGCTGCTGCTCCAGAGCCAGAGAGGAGAGTCCCCTCACCCCCCTTCACAGACACAGACAAAAGGCCTGATTCGCCTGCTGAACACTGCCCCCTTTTCTCCGGCTCGTCCCTTCATGCGCGGCCGTGGTGGTGGTGGCGGCGGCGGCGGCGGGGGCTTCAGGAGAGAACGAGGCCTGGATTGGGACTAAAATCTAGGACTGACCCAGTGAAGGAGAGTGGGGGAGATGGGGGAAGGGAGGGGGGAGGTAGGAGGAGGAGGATGGAGGCTGGAAGGGCCGAGTACAGGCAGGTGTTGAGGCCTCGGCAGGAAGACTTTTGCCCCTGAATATCTCTCAGAGTGGAAACCTGACAAAGGGTATGCCACATTTACCTCTATATATATGCATGAAAGTGCATGTTTCTGTGTGTCTCTGTGGGACGGATGTGGGGCAGGGGTGGCATGTGGTCGATGGAGGACTGGGGTAGAGGGTTCATGCATGGCCCGTGCATGTTCATGTGGGATTGTTTTGTTTATGTTCCTCGTCTTTACTGTATATCACAGTGATGAGTGTAATGCTGCAGAGAGACTGCTCTGGGAGGGAAACATACCGCCGGAGTTAAAGCACTAAAGGATCGAGTTCAAAACAGGCCAAGATACCAGACTGAGCTTCTGCCACCATCATGATTACCTGAACTTTTTCTTTTCTGTGCATTAGTCGCTTTAGTCATCAGGATTATTTTTTTAAAATCCAACCTTACGTAACACATTGTTTCGTTTACATGGTGCCAATTTTGTTCTGTTTTTGTATTCATGTCAAGGTTCCCGTGCTCAACCAAACATCACATTCTTGTGTATTTTTGTGGCCTAATGTCAAGCGACCACATGAGTGGATCTCCTCTACACCGCTCTCCACCTGTTCAGAAAGTATCTCTTGCTTTGCACAATCCATTTGACAACATGCACACGCAAAAAGGTTGCAGTGCTTCCTGGGAGGTGGGCATGCTGCTGCTGCTGCTGCCTATGTGTTTCTGAGGCCGTATTGCAGCACAGAGCTTTATGTTGGGTGACCGGAACCAGCTGAAACCGGTTTGAGGCAGACGGAGGGCTGACAGGAACAATGCCGCCTCTGTGCTCCACGGGGATAGAGATAGTCCAGGCTGCTCCATGGCAGCCCTTCACAGCTCAGTCACTGGCTACCATGGCACAGGCGCAGACCCTTCTGCTGCTGCTGCTCGCTGCTGCTGCTGGCTGGATGTCGGAGGGCTACGCAGCACGGCTCACTGCGAGGGGAGCAGGGAGATATGGGAAGGGACGAGGGCAGGGGGACGTGGCTGGATGGGGAGTCTGTGATTCTGCAGCCTGACACACACACACACACACATACACACACACACACACTTACAGGAGCATGATCTATCTGTCTGTTTATATGTCTGTGTGCTGCTAGTGGTGCAGAGAATGACTCAGGACGATCCTTACCAGGACCACCACCTCTCACCACATCCCTGGATGTAACCTGACCCTGTATTCTGGGCCTTTGCCTGGTTGGGAAGACTTTTTTTTTCTTCAGGCAGGGTGGGGTGGATGGCTTTTTGTGGGTTAGTAGTGTTTGTGACTCTGTTTGTTGCAGGATGGAAGGAAGGAAGGAAAGAAGGTTTGGCTAGTGGCTGGAGAGGGACGGAGGCAAGAGGGTGAGGAGTTGCTGATTCACTTGCATGCTTCCACAAATATTTTTGCACACACTTAGATTGTAGTCTGCTACACAGTGCGTCGATTTCAGATGGCAACGATGCATGTGTATTAAACTGCTGTTGTGGAGAGGGGCTCTGTGTGTTGTGTGTTTTTCATATCTGTCTGCATTTAACCTTCATTTACTGTCTACGTCAGGCTGCTCTGGCTGTCATGGCTGTGACTAGCTGTTCTTTCCACCAGGCCTTTCTCTCTCTCTCTCTCTGTGCTGCAGCTTCACTCAGCTCAGCAGCCATTTTTTTCCCCCCCTCACTGCCCTCTCTCTCCATAGCATTTCCTCCTTCTCTCTAGCATTTTTATCACGATTATAGCTATCCAATCATCTGGATTAAACTGAGATGTTTTGCATTTCAAAACCAAAGCTGAGGGGATATAGGATGTGGGTCTGTGCGTGCAGATGTGGTTGCCATGCATTTGGATCAAAGAGCAGCACTGGTTTAGCTGCACGTACAAGCAGAGCAGCTCCCCTGGCTGTGCCTTTTGTCCCAAGCACCCATAATTCACCTACAAGAATGTTCTTATTTTACACTCCATGTTTAATACAGCTGATGTTTACATATTATAGTCATTCCCCAAATTCAGCTGAGGAGTGCCTCTGTACTGATAGGGGGGGGATGTGCAATCATGCTCTATATACTGTATATATTACTTACACTAGATCCCTTTTTGTCCTGATTGTACATCAGAAAATAAGCTCATAGAAAGAGAAACAGTCTGTCGTTCATGTTCCATCAGCAGCTTTTCAAGAAAATCTAAAGTGAATTTTATTTCCAATGTGCTATACTATTGTTTCCTCCCTATTGCAGAGCACGTAGTGATGGTAGAGCAGAAATGTTTTGCTGAGCACCCTCATTTAATGTCATTAAAATGTCACATCTACCCCCCATGTGGACCAGCATGTTGCTCCCTGGTGTTCCCTCTGGAATGAGGTTACCAGATGTAAGGGCTCCTGTACATACTTGTATGCACAAAGTGTATGTCAGCTGAACTCATATCTTGTCAGGAGGACTTTGCATCAGAGTGATTTGCATTTTAATTTAAAGAGGGAGGAGGAAAGAGCACCGAAGGCAATATGAAGCACCAGAGAGCAGTGACTGTCATGGTTAATGTGGTATTTTATAGGCGGTACTCTATGTGGACACTGGCGCACCAGGTGGAGATAAATGAAACTACAAAACTAAAGTTGGACTCAGTGTTTGTGTGCTCAGACCCAAATCCACCACATACACTGTAATTCACAAAATATCGACGCATTCTTTTCTCCAGAATCCACCCCGACACCATTAAGCATTCTAACTACTTTAAACGCTCCCTTGATGCCACTAGTGGCTGATTCTCTCCATGTTACTAAATGTCTCGAGCAATCGTTTCTGTTGCAGTCTGCAGTCTAGGAAGTATAGAGGGCACTATTAATAATTTATGCTGACTGGAGAGTACATCCACCCTCTGACAACAAACCCTCACAAAAATTCATTGAAATTTTTTGGCTTCGAAGAACCGCTGTTTGTTTTTCCATCGTCCTAGTTGGATTATTTACACGTTCATCATCCAAAATTTATGATTTTCTCCATGATTACAGATTTTTTTTTTTCATTGCAGCCTTCATGTCCCAGCATCACACTCCAACTTGATGACAATTCTGTCTGAAATAATAAAGAACAGAATCAAACCACAATGACAGAATCTTTACGCAACAGCGTTCAAGAAAGTCAATTCAAATATGTGCTTCCAACTTCCAAACACAATAACTATGAGAATTAATATAAACCTGAGGAACTTCTGCCCTTAAGATAAATTGTATATCATCATTATAACCATCATTAGCATTTTCAGTAGAAGAAAACATCACATTTTGGACTGATTTTTAACCAATGGAAGCATATGAAACACATTTGTGTATTCCACACCATTGTGAATTAAGGGGTTTAATGCTAATCTATCCATTCATTATCAATCCATCCATCAATTTTACTTCACCAGTAGAATTGGACTAATAACATTTTCACTTGCATGACAAATACTAAGATTTGCAGAAAATATTGCCATCAATTTTTTACCACAAACATACAAATGGTGATACAGTTAAAAACATGTGGTACCCAAGACTTACATAGTTACTTATTTTCCATATAATCTGTGTTCCCCAGGTGATCTCCTTATCAGAACAGGAACAGGAACATGGGAGATATGAAGACGCCAGACTTCGATGACCTGCTGGCGGCCTTCGACATCCCCGACATGGTGGATCCTAAAGCCGCAATTGAATCTGGCCACCAAGATGACCACGAAGGACAACTCAAGCAACCAAGTGGTGCCATGGCAACCAATGAAGAAGATGCCCACAACCCCTCAGCGCCACATGACGTTGGTGTTAGTGTCATTGTAAAGAACATCCGAAATATGGAAACCAGTGAACATGGTGGAGCCGTATCAGAGAAGGACGGACAATTCCACTTCCATCCCCAGCCCCGTTCTGTCGGCAATGGACTTCACAATGGCTTCTTGCCCACAACACCACCTGCTAGTCATTACACCAAGAATGGATGGAAAGCTCCCAGAGAAGAAGGACACAAAATTAACAACCAATCATCTACCTTCAATCAGTTTAGCCCAATCTCTAGTGCGGAAGAGTTTGATGATGATGATAAAATTGAAGTAGATGACCCAATGGACAAGCAAGGTGGTCAGACTTACTTTCAGCCCACTGCAAAGACTGAGGACCACAATCCAAAATCTCCTGTAGTGGCCAGTGTTCATAAGCCTAGAACAAATGGAGATCAAAAAGCTGATAACAACAACAATGGTACTGTTGCAAGTTGCAAGTTTAACAATCTTCCTCAATCAACTTTGCCTAAGGATGAACTCAATGAAATTGTAGACAAATCTCAAAATCAAGAGTGCAAGGAACCTGGGGAGTCATCAGGACTTGCTAATGCATCCAGTATCCCCCAGGTCAAAGCCAAGTCCTCTACAAAACTTTCATCTTGTATAGCAGCCATAGCAGCACTCAGTGCCAAAAAAGCTAGTACTGCAGATATGGGAGCTTCAGATTCTCCCACAACACAGAAAGAATCCATCCAGGTCAGTGAAAATCCCAGAGCGCCAGAGAAGACCCAGGAGCAACAGTTAGCCCTAGAGGTTGCAAAGAAGCTGCTAACAAGACAACCAGACAGCCCATCGAGTGTCACAAGTGAGGGCAGCTGCAAAGGTTCCCCGTCCTCAGGCACAGACACAACCCCGGTCATTCCAAAGGTCAGGATCAAAACTATCAAAACCTCATCTGGACAGATCAAGCGTACTGTCACTCGAGTCCTCCCAGAGTTTGATCCTGAGGGTCTGAAAAAAGAGATATGCTCATCTGTCATGGCAACCACCAGTGCAATTTTCACATCAACCACAAGGCCCTCTCTTCCAACCACAGTCGTAGCCACCACTGGAGGCCCTGCAATTGAAATAACCAAGCAAATGACTATTAAACCTGTGGCAACAGCTTTCCTGCCAGTCTCAGCAGTCAAGACGGCTGGTTCGCAAGTTATCAACCTTAAGCTGTCTAACAACACTACAGTCAAAGCAACAGTCATTCCTGCTGCATCAGTGCAAAGTGCCAGCAGTGCCATCTTGAAAGCTGCTAATGCCATCCAGCAACAGACTGTCATGGTACCTGCCTCCAGTCTGGCTAATGCCAAACTTGTGCCAAAGACAGTCCATCTCAGTAACCTCAATCTTCTCCCTCAGGCAGTGTCCTCTGCTGCCTGTGATCTCCAACAGGCACTGTCAGCCTCCAAACAGGCCCAGCATCAAAAATCACAAGTCAAACAGACAATTCTCGCTGGCCAGGCCTCAAAGAAGGTCTCAAGGGTTCAAGTGTTCACTAGCTCTCAAAGCTCTGTCGTGGATGCATTCAATAAAGTCCTGAGTAGCATGAATCCCGTCCCTGTGTACATCCCAAACCTCTCTCCACCAACTTCTGCCTGTATCTCTCTACCCTCACGTGGCTACAAGTGTCTGGAGTGCGGCGACTCATTTGCTCTTGAGAAGAGCCTGACACAGCATTACGAACGTCGCAGTGTGCGGATCGAGGTCACCTGCAACCACTGTGCCAAAAGTCTGGTGTTCTACAACAAATGCAGCCTCTTGTCTCATGCTAGGGGCCACAAGGACAAAGGGGTGGTCATGCAGTGCTCACACTTAATACTAAAACCCATCCCTGCAGATCAGATGATCAGTGCATCCACCTCATCGGGACCATCCAACATCCCCGGCACCACTTCCAGCTCTCAAGCACAGGCACCCACAGGTCAAATCCAGGGGAAAGTCTCTGGTGGTGGGACCCAAGCCACGGTAATTTCAGCACCATGCAGTGCTCCTCTTGTGGCAGCCATGCCCTTGGAGGACGATGCATCAAAGCTCTGCAGACACAGCCTGAAATGCTTGGAGTGTAACGAAATGTTCCAGGATGACAGCTCACTAGCCATGCACTATCAACAAGCGCCGGAATCCAGTGGTCAGGTGTGTAATGTGTGAACTGCTACATAATATGGAAAAAGCTGCAAAGATATCTGTAGCTGAGCTTTGATTTGTCACAATAGGTTAAAGACATTATACACATTGTTATGACTTGCCAGAGCTACTGTGCATGATGCTGCTCATTCAGGCTTCCCATTGGATATTGGCCCAGCAACATTTCAACATTGCTGGCAGAAGTAATCAGGTCACAGTGGTGGGCAAGATCAATAGTAGAGGAAGTGAAATTGGAAGAGCTTATCAGCAAGGAGTTTGTGGAAAATTAACTTAATTCATTCAAGGTTTTTGGTCAAAAGTAACTAAATGCTGATATGATGATTAATCAGCTTGTCATATGCTGTTATGGTCGCAGTGCTATGGTATGTTTAAAAAGCTGCATCTGCTGCCAACTTGCCTTAGCCTCTGAGGTAATCGCCGACATCTGCAACATCATTTTGCCAAGTCAGAACTTTTAATCAAGATATCTGTAAATTATTGTGAATAGCTAAAACTTAAGCTATCTAAAAAAAAAGGCAATGTGAATTGCTTGAATCAATTTGCTTATATTTTCGATGCATTTTGGTTGAATTAAGCACCACGTGTCTCTGACTTGCTTTTCTCCATAGAAACAGCAGAAGAGGTGCTGTAGCATTTAGATGTATCCACCAAGCTAAACTAATAAACAATACATGATTTCCCGAGACGAAATTTAGTTTGAGATATTCTCTCTCTGTCTGACATGACTCATTCACCATATCATGGATTGCAGATAATGGCTCTATCTTTTATGTTCTCCTTGTATGATACCATAACTTCTTTTCTTATCTCCTTTTCTTGTCCCACAGAAAACATGCACTATTTGTCAAATGCTTCTCCCGAATCAGTGCAGCTTTCTGTCACACCAGCGAATCCACCAGCACAAGTCTCCCTATATCTGCCCTGAGTGTGGTGCCAGCTGTCGCTCTGTCCACTTCCAGTCACATGTCACCAAGAACTGCTTGCATTACACCCGCAGAGTCGGCTACCGGTCAGTTTACCACAGCTTGTATTCTCGTCTGCTGTTGTGCTCAGATAGACCACATGTTCCAAAACTTTAGGTCAGCTTCACTAAATTGTAATGTCCAAACATCTGTTGAAACGCTTTTTTTTTTCGTCGTCTTGTCAAATTTGAAGTTGAAAACAATCCTGAGTCATGATCTTCAGTACGTAGCCGTGCTCTGACTTAAATGCCCCGTACTCTTGCTTTTCAACCAAGGTGCCACTTATGTCATTTTAAATTACAGTTATTATTACATTATGTGATATTATTCACAATGAAACTTATTGGACAAAATTGGACAGTTGCAATTTTCATGTGTAGTCACCCAGGATACAAGCCATTTAAAATGAAAATGAGCAATTATGTTCCAATTAGGAGCCTGGTCTATCAAACTGTTATGAAATGAACAGTTTGTCTTAAAGTTGAAATCTGCAATGTCCTAAAATATGCTATGACATCCATGTCTGCTAATGATATTTCCACTGAAGTGTCACAACATCATAAATGCGACATTACATTCACGTGCACTTGAAGAACTATTTAGATTTTAACTTAAAAGCTGTGCTTGTTGTGCAAAAAGAAAGAAAGATTGTTTTATCTTGGAAATGAGACATTAACCATCCAAGATTATTCATGCATGTCTATGTATAAAAACCTGTTTTTCTTGGAAAATGTAATTATTGATGATTCATTACAACGACTGACATTACTCTATGAGGTACAAGTGAGAATTAGCAGGTTGTTAGCTTAGCTTAGCATAACAACTAGCCTGCTTTGACCAAAAATACAGAACATCCATCTATACAACTAGACCAAACATGTAAGTGAACAAGCTTTAAAGTTCCTTGTAGGTCCTGCTTCCCTCTGCTTCCTGCCATGTTAACCATCTCCCGGCTGTAGATTGGTGTTCGACATACAGACACAAGTGGTATTGATCTTCTTATCTAACTCTTGACCAAAAAGTCAATATGTGTATTTCCATACAACTTTAGGAACAGTCTTTCACAGTCTTGAGCCTGTGTGTCCTGTGTTGAGCAGCCTGCTAAATTCTGATGGCACCAATCAAATAAATGACAGAAGACAACCTCACATTGCAACCCATGAAGTGCCTCGCTCAGAGGAATGAGCTAAACTGACAGTTAAAATGTCTTGTAAATCTGACCTTTGCCATATCTCACTTTTTCTCCCTCTGCCTCCATTCTTTCTCCCTCCAGCTGTGTCCACTGTAGTGTGATCTTTGCTGACGTTGCAACACTAAAGTCCCATATCCAGAATACTCACTGCGAGGTCTTCTATAAATGTCCTCTCTGCCCCATGGCCTTCAAGTCTGCACCTGGAACACACTCGCATGCACATACACAGCATCCGGGATTGAAGGCAGGAGAGCCCAAGTAGGTCTTTACATGTTTTATCCACTGTAACTATGGTTTTAAAAGGCTGTGTTTAACATAAATCCATTGTACTTACATTTCTAGTCAAATGTGTTTCAGCTGTCATTCAAAGCTGTAGCTGTTTTTTCTCCAGACACACGGGCCTACACACCAACACACATCCACATGCTCCATCTTTCACAACGGCACACGCCAGTGTAACCTAATACCCATGCCCAATTCCTTTTTCTGTAGAAAATCATCCTTGCTGCTTCATCAGTAACAGGATTTGTGGATTTTAGATGTGGTGGCTTAACTTGGGTTTGTTTTTTCCACATGGCAACCTTTCGCTCACTTGCACACTGTCCATCATCAGCAGTGCTGATGATACGGGTGCTCAAGAGCAGCTGTCCTCGCACCAATGTGCTGGGGGGGTTTGGCTCCTATGGTGCCTCAATTTGACTTGACTATGTCAGACAATATGCGATGAGCTGAAGCATTTCAATGTGTTTGTTCGCATGTTGCTCTAAATTTGAAATGTGGGACCACAGTTGTAACAGAATTTGTAGAAGTTTGTTTGCTCAGTAACAGCTGGGATTCTTTCAATGCCTTCTTCAGTTACACTTTGCAACAAACTGTTTTTTTGCTCTTGTTTTGTCTTTCAGGGTGATCTACAAATGTTCCATGTGTGATACAGTGTTCACCCTGCAGTCTCTGCTCTACACACATTTCGACCAGCACATTGTCAATCATAAAGTTTCAGTGTTCAAATGCCCCGACTGCTCCATGCACTACGCACAGAAACAGCTCATGTTGGACCATATTAAGGTAGCTAAAATATTATAGTCTTTTTAATTCAAAAGCCATTCACATGAGTAGTAATAACATCTTAAGTATGAAAAATGTCAACAGTGTCTATGTCGCTCCTTTTCCAGGCCATCCATGGAACCCTGAAGACCATAGAGGGTCCACCAAACTTGGGTATCAACCTCCCTCTCAGCTCGAAACCAACGAATTCTAACAGCAGCAACAGCACCCATACTAATAACAGCAAAGATGGAGGAAATGTCAACGTTCAAGACAAGGGAGAAAAGAAACCGTCACCGTCACCGCTGAAGAAAACCAACAGCAACTCTTCAGCAGACTTTAAGAGCCCTTCCAGCTCAGGTTACACATGTGGAGACTGCAGCAGCCTCTTCAACTCCAGGGAGCTCTTTGTGGCGCACATGAGGCGAGAACATGGAAAGGTGAAGGTTTAAACTCACTCTCGTTAGGAAGTTTTTAATGGGCCATGTGGTATTTTTTTCGATTTTGCTTATCGATGCAAAAGGACAAAGCTGGAATTATGTTTCTCTGAAGATACATAGAAATGTCTTTTGTCATCTACGCAGAGAAGCAGGTCAAGTGTGCTCCTCCGAAATCCTAACTATGCAGTATGTAAACCAACGTGACAGGCAGTTTAATCGTCCTGTTAAAAGTATGTTTGGATAAAAACCAACGTAAACGTACAAGTATAGAAGAAAGACACATGAGCCCCCCTCGTGCTCAGGGAAGCATAGTTTCTGCTCTGCAGAGTTGATGTTGTTTTTTTTAGGTGTCTTAGTCATTCCCCTCTTCCATATTCCAGATTCTGAAGAAGCACCCATGTCGACAGTGTGACAAGTCTTTCAGCTCCTCTCACAGTCTTTGCCGACACAACCGTCTCAAACACAAGGGGCTGAGGAAGGTCTACACCTGCCCGTGAGTAAGCACACTGATTATTTTAGGCTCAGCATGGTCCCCGCACGAAACCATGCATCACTTCCTCTCTAACTGTGAGCACACCGTCAGCATTTAATGAGCACTCTGTTAATTAACTATGATACTAAACGTCGCAATTATCACACATCCAGTTGCATTTGATGTCTTCATCAATAAAAGTCTTTCAAAGGGGTCATTCAAACCTCTCCCCATCATATAATGTGTAACATATGTCAAGTCTCAAGAGGCATGTGTTGGGTCTATATACTAGCCCCAGTTACTCCGAGAAGGAATCTGCATGTTTGCAAAGTCCAGTGTAAGAATGAAGAGCACCTTGTGGTTGACTTTACACTTTCCTTACTGTGCCTGTAAAAATCTAAACCTGTACTTGATTTGAATTTGGCTGCATCCAAGTAGTGTCCTTGTGCAGTGATACTCAGCTCCCAGTGCTCCTGGAACACTGATAAGACTCCCTGGAAGTTCCATAATTTAAACATCTTATGGACCTTCTCTAATGAGCACTGAATCACTGACAGTGACCTCCAACTTGAATATCATCATGGGAAAGATTAAGAAGTCACAGACAGCTAAATCTGGTGAGCAGGCCAGGAGGGGAGTGACGATCATGTTAACATGGCCATAAAAACTGACATGCAATTAATGTGGTATAACTGGGGGAACAACACATTGGAGCATGTCATGCCATTGCAGGTTGCTTTTGGTAAAAGTTCTCCCTCAGACACCTCTGGATGCTACAGTAGAACTCTGCTTTGACAGCCCAACCCGAGCAGACTGGTACATTCAAGTGGTTGTGCACCAGAAGAACACAATGAAGATGCTCCTGGTGCATCCTGAAGATACTGTTGTTTATTCTCTTGGTGGTAGCAAACCCACCTCTTGTGTCTTGTCTGATGATCCTCAACATTAGGATTTGCTCTTCCTGGCTGCAGACTGGTCCTGATTGTGATGTTTTCTTCCTGTTCCTGTATGGAGAAATCACAAATGTGCACTTAGAAACATGCGTATTATAGGTCCCAATGTTGATTGTGGTCTCCTAACTTGTGACATTCCTGCTGACACATGTTGCAGGTCTTGTAACTTTATGATCGCATCTCATACGTGCAATTCTTTATCAGTATTAAAGAAAATGCATTCAAATTAAATGTATGCACAGAAAACAGAGAACAAAGTCAGCTTGCAAATGGTTATAATTGTAATTTTTTTGTATTTTGACAGGCACTGTCCAGCTCTCAGTCAGCCCTTCACTAAAAGAGTGCTGCTGGATCAGCACATTCAGCTGATGCACGGAGGTAAAGATGCAGGAAGAAAGACCGTTGACCCTGATAACATGGAGGCTTTACCCAATAAGGAAAAGGTACTGTGGCACAAGTTTCTAATAAAAATGCGACGTCTATATCATTGCAGATTTTATGTTTTTGCTGCTAACTTTAACTTAATCTCCTTTGCAGAGCTTCAGCCCCAAAAGGAAAACAGAGGACGGTGAGGGGTCTCCGGGCTTGACCTCCAGGAGCTCCGACTCGCAGCCACTGAAGAGACTCAAGGTAAACATCCTAAAAGTCCACAAGTGTGCCGTCTGCGGCTTCACCACGGAAGATATCGCCGCTTTCCATGAGCACATACCTCAGCACAAGTCGGATGGCTCGTCCTACCAGTGCCAGGAGTGCGGCCTGTGCTACACGTCCCACCGCTCGCTGGCCCGACACCTCTTCATCGTCCACCGGCTGAAGGAGCCGCACGGTCTCGGCCGATACTACGGACGGGGCAAAGACGACGAGGAGAGTCAAAGAGAGAACCAGTTTGGCGTTACAGACGAGAACGATGACGGGACGCCAAATACCAAATGCAAAGTGTGTGGGAAGATGTTCGAAACGGAGGGCAACCTGAACACCCACATGAGGACACATGGGATGGCGTTCATTAGGTCAAAGAGACTGAGCGCAGTCGAAAAGTGAGACTTTTTAATCATTCCATCAAACGCTGTTTTAAATGTATACAGTTTGTTTAACCTGCAGTACCTCCGTTGGCTGTGGTTAAGCTGTAGATACAAGATGTATATGTGGTGTACGACAATATGTATACAATATACACACAAATATGTAACATACATCAAAGTCACGTCAAGTGTCTTTTAGTAAATTGAACAAGATAGTTTTTTGTACACATGTAGATGTTTCTATAGGCCTCGAATAGATCTTTTTTTAGAAGAGCCTTTTATTTTAACAGTTTCCATTGTTGTCTTCTCACTAGGACTACATAATGTAGGGATATATTGTTGTAATGGGATTAATCCTCATACACTCAGCAGTGTTTTGAATCTTCAATGCTGCTAATGTCCAACGAATGTCTGGTTGAAAAACCATATAAAACTGTGGATGCTTCAAGATTCCCTCAACTTGCGTTTATAAAAAATCTAGCATTTCTCTGTGAGGCTTAGCTTTTACAATAAAACCCTGGTTCGTGTCTGGTAACACACCTGGAAACAACTGATCCCAGAACAGAATCTCTGCGGTAACTTTGCGCTGAAGTAAACTGACATTTCTGAAGATTTCGGGACAATCAGTTGAAGACAAGTTATTGTCATGACATATCAGAAACATACACAACAGAAAAATTAGAAAAATGGAACAATTAAAAGTAAGCTCCCAGTTTAAAAAAAAAAAAAAAAAGATTATGTCAAACATGGTCGTATCTTTTAAAGACAAACATGGGCCAAATTTCCTTTTTAAAAAAGTATTTTGTACAAGATTGTGATTTTTTTTTTATGTTGACGTTTCATTCCTGTCTTAATACACTATACATGGCAGCTCTTTGAGATTACAATTGACTTAAAAATGTTTATTTAGCTAAATATTTAAACAATAAGGTACAAAGCACTTGCCTTTTTTAAACAGCAGTCTTCTTTACAGCATATTAGTGTAACTCTGTGGTTACGGCACAATAAAAATAAAATTGTAACGTCCCTGTATTTCATAACAATGCCAACATTATCATTTAATTCCTGCTTTTTATTTTTTTAATATTTCCTGAGTTCGTGGTTCTTTGAGTTAATGTGGAATAATAGTAATAATAATAATAATGAATGTTCACTGACAGGATTTACACTGGAAAACTTCAACACTAAACAAAAACGTCTACGAATGTAAACTCGGCTGTGAACCTGACTTGAAAGGAGATCGCCAGTTCAGTTGAAAGAACAAGCGTTTCCAAAATAAAAATACCACTGAGTTTTGGATGGTCGTTTTTCCACGATGACAATGAGACTTTTCATGTCTTGCGCTGTAAAACTGCATGTGAGAAGCAGTCTGTGAATTGTTTGTTGATTAGAATGTGTCTTGCTGCTGCTGTCGCTGCTGCTGCTGCCATTTTTAGACATTTCTGATGCTTGTGTACAAAGTTGTTCTTTATGTCAATAAACGATGAAACCTGCCAGAGGCGAGACCTGATGTCCACTGCACACGAGACATCGGCTCTTCTCAATGGAAATATACCAGAAATCCTCTTCTGATCATTCATGCATAGGTTTGTGTGTTGTCGTGGATTATTAATACTACTAGGACTTAAGTCTAAATGTGTTTATTTTTAAGAAAAACAGTATGTTGAAATCTGAAGTGTTAGTTTTATATGAACAACTGCACTTTCATCCAGCTCTGTCTCATGGTTATACATGAATTACTTAGTTAAGGTTACAGGAATACGGTGCCTTTGTTTAAGAGAATAATCTTTCTCTGTCTTTAAAGCTGCAGTCGTCAATATTTTATTTTAACATTAGATCAAATGATGCCTGTAAAAGAGAAACCAATAGTAATGAACTGACTCTGCTTCTTTTTCAGCATCCTCCAGCTCACTGTTTTGGTTTTCCAGCCTCCTTTAACTACCATTTTGATTCACTCTCCTTTAATAAAGCCACCGTGCACAAATAGACGAGACACACAATTTCAGCATCAGTGTGACTCACACGTTCCACAAATCTCCTTATCTTTGATTTCCTTTGTGAATAAACAGGATTAATTAATCTAGAAATCTGTCTAGGAAATCAAAATTGACATCCGGACTTATTGCGTGTCATTTCACAATGTTAAATGAACACACACATGAGTTAATGTAAAGGGTGAAGGTGAGGGGGACAGGCTGAGCGAATGCAAGTGATGTGATTTGTTATGTAACTTGTCATGATATCAGGCTGGGAAATCGTGGAAAAAAGGTTTTAAACGCCAGAGCTGGTAACAAACATGCACTTTTTAAAGTCTCTTTTAGCAGTAAAACAATCCAGTGACTGTCACACCACACTATACTGCAAACAGGAATGACTAATGTCTAATTTGGAGAACTTTTACTGGGCTTTAACACAGAGTTAAAAGTAGAGTGACGTTTATCCGGTCACCTAAAACATGAATGATGAATGAAACTAAACAAAAAGTTGCATGGTGTGTCCTGGAGCTGTTTCGTTACATGAAGTTTTTCATATCAACCGTATCAGTATTCCTCAAGTGTTTTGCGTTTGTTGCCTAAACTTAACCAGACGTGGAACTTAAGACACACATTCTGGTTGTGTAGCAGCAGGACTTTGGCTGTTTTTTAAATTTATTTATCAATTTTAGCAATTTTTAGTGATGAGTACAATTCACATGTGCACAATATTGTCGTTGTTCTTTCTTCAGAAAACATTTTCCCATAAAAATTAACATTAAAAAAATTAAAATTAAAAAAATTTAAAGAATAAAAATCAAATCGGCAAAGATGGGAGGTCTTTCAGAACATTAGGGGGTGACCTTTAAATTTTCTTTAAATTTTTAAACTCAACATTAAATTGGGCTTTTTCATTTTTATGTACACAACCCATTTTTCCCAACATGCTACAAACCAGTCTTGATTTGTAAACGCTGTCATCTCTTCCATTTTATAAATATACAGTGTTATATCCCATCATGCTGACACAGTGGGAGTATCATGTGATAACCACTTCTTAGTTATAGATTTCTTACCAACCAACAAAACACTCAATAGGTATTTATCCTTTTTCCTCCATTCCTGTGGTAAACGTCCAAAATAAACAGTTGTTAGAGTTTCAATTACTATCAGTGCACTGGGTGGCAAAATTTTAAATAAAATGAATTAGTAAAATCAGATTTAATGACTTGCAGTCAGGTCTTTGTCATGAGAGTGAGCCATAGTGGAGACCAAGGAGTGATCATATCCTCTTTACAAGACAAAATAGTTGTAATGCACAATTAACAATGGTTGGATCACAGTTTCATGCCAGTAAATATTGTTTTAAAGGTTGTTTGCCTGGTAAACTCATGGTAAACAGATTTTTAGGACAAGTTCCCCCTCTAGTGGCCAGTTCCTTTGCTGATTTATTTTCATTACATTTAGTGTTTGTTCTGCCGCCATTTATCTTGAGCCAATGGTTCTAATAAAAACTAACGCAGTAGAAAAGTGTAGCATAACGGTTGTAAATGTGTAAATGAGGTGCTCAAGCTCAAGCGGAGACGTTTCCCTGAGCGTCCACACTGTTGCTTAGATGGTAGTTATGTTGTTTGTAGGTCAACCATAATTATTAGTCTTGCACTTCAATTACGCTGCTCCTGTGTGGTGACAAAAAAATCACAGCCTGGATCTTTTTGTTAGCCTCCCATCTTCTTTCACGTAACCAAATCCTGTTCACACCTGACATAGAAAGCCAGGTGGGGGCGAGCCACAGTGGCCAGAGCAGTTTTTCAATCCAGCCGTGGAAGATGAATTTCACGCGCCTCTCTGGACGATGATGTGTCCCCTCCTATGTTATTTAAGCACCGTCTTCACCAAAAAGGTGCAGTCAGTCGTAAAATGGCCCTGAGTTTGGTGGTGTTTCTTCTTTTAGTGGGGGGCAGCGCAGAGCTGGAAAATACGCAGGCCTCGGCCGTGTCACAAAGATGTATGAAGGATACCAACACTTTCCTCTGGGAAATTACCCAGGACAAGCCAAAGGAGTATGCTGTTCTCAGTAAGTGTTTCTGTCTTTTGTAAAGTTTTTCTTCTTTGTACATCAGTCTGAGGCAGAGGAGGTTATGGCTCATTTAGACTGCTGGGGCCAGACGAGGGAATGCTGACCTTTAAGAGAGGCCAGTTGTACTCAACTCTGAAACTAGGAGCTCATTTTAGCAGCAGAGGAATCTAAAAAACAAAAAGAAAAGTCATCCAAAGAAATAAACTAGTTCTGCACAAGCAAGCTATGAGGATGTTTAAATGTCTGCAATGATTCAGATGATAACGGTGGAAGTGGCTACATCTGCAAGTTATGTTTTTGCTTTACTTTAGATATTTCAAACTGTGTTTAAATGGTTTGAGTTTGTCTTTTTCATTTTGCAAAGCACATAAAGTGTAATATTATTATTGTTGCTATTATTTTCATTATTATAACATTACAGCACAGTTTAGCTCAGATGGACGAGCAGCCTATAAATCCATCCATCCATCCATTATCTATACACTGATTAATCCTCACTGGGGTCGTGGGGGGCTGGAGTCTAGCAGCCTATAAATGTAAAACTTAAATAAAGCAAATAACATCATATTACAGCTCAGACAGCAGCTGACCATGGGCTGTATTATTAACATGGGCGTAGCAATTGGTGATTTCACCCTTTGGTTTGAGGTTTAGAGATGCTATCATTTCCAACCAGAACCTTCCAGATATGAAGAGCAGGGCGGAGCAGCTGGTGTGACACTAGAAACCTGATTCAGCATCAGCTAACGAGACATTTTACTCAATAGTGAGACTGCAGATGAAGCGCAATAAAACTGAGAACCGCTAGGAAAAGAAACTTTTCCCCTGAGAGAACCAAAGAATAAGCCGTAATTACAAATGAAAACTGATTCAAACAAGATGAAGAACAGCAAAACGGTGGAAAATATATTGCTTACTTTACCAAATGACAATGGCCTGTCTCATCTCAGTTTTCTAAATCACCCCAGATCCGACATATCAATCAGATCAGTACGGGTGCAATAAACGATTGCCGTAGTCGACCAAAATCGCTGACTAAATTAGTT